AGAGAGGCTGCCAGCGGGCCTGGGAAAGAAATTCGCTACGTCCGTTTCGCCGACGGTGCGCTAACTACGGCACTGCCGTCACGCGCCATTGTACCGTAATCGTTCTCGAATACGGACATCGTAGATACTTTGGTACGCGTTTGTGCGTGCGAATACATACGTAAGGGTATATACATGTGCGCGTCCGTTTGACACGAGTAGAAATTCATAGGACATACGCGACACGAATTTTTTCCTCTCTATATTTATACGCTTCGGTGCTCCGCACGGTCGAAACGGATTCCGGACGTTTGGACGTGCGGTCGTCGGAACGATCCCGCTGAATTCTAGCGGCTTCGGATCGTAAAGAACATAAAAGTAAAGAGTACACGTGAGTTACGAGAGTCCGTTGTCACATTAGCCAGAAAGAGCTCACGATCAGTGGTAGCTGATCATGTTATAAATGTGATAGCTAAAAGCGAATTAAAATGGAAAGAAATTATTTTCAGTTGTTTAACAAATTACTCTAATAAATTATAAAAGAAATTTGGAAAAAAATCTTTGTAAATGTAAATACAAAGTTTTACACATTGTTGCACTGAGCTGACAATTTCTAAATCGATTCGTATAATTAATCGTATTTTTCTCGAATTACTTTTATCCTAGTTCCTTTATTCCGTACACAGCATTAATATTATTTTTTCTCGTATAACGCAGATATTTTTAAGAAAAGTAAATAAAACTATCGAACAATAATGAGCAAGAAGATGAAATTGTTCGTGGAGAGAGGTCTGTAGGACGATTGAGTTGGAGAATTGCGCGAAACATCGCCATCGAACGGCTATTCGCGTTCACGCTCGTGGAGAATAAATCCCGAAATAAAGGACCATTGTGTCGGTGGGAAAAGCGTCTTCCGCCCTTCTGACTCTGAGACTGGGCCTGGGTTTCTAATTCGTCTTGAATGGACCGAGGATGAAACGTGAGACGGAAACGGGTGCAAGTGCACCGTGGACTGGTACTTCCAGTACGAACAGTGTTTAAAAAAAAAACAAAGAAAGAAACAAAGAGAGAGAAAGAGAGAAGGAGATAGACGGAGAGAAAGAGGGAGAAGGGAGAGAAGAAAGGATGAGGAGAAGCCGGAACCAGTTAAGGGAACGAGTTGCGCCCAACTCCGTTTTGCGCGAACCGGCTTCACCCTTCTGCATTCAACACCATCTTCCTTGCTTTTTCAATAACACATGCGTTTTCCGAGCAATGCATCACGCGCGACGTGAAAGTTCCTTATCGGAAATAATCGTAACCGAAAATATTCAAGATTTGTTATCTACAATTTTTGCCGGATAACTGCGAGGTTTGATTAAATAAAATTACTTATATTTACGTTTTTGAGAGACCCCTATCGTGTCGCATCGATCTCGAGAACGGGGTGAGTGACCGTTATTTTGAGCATTGTAAAAAAGCGTGAATAGGAGCGGTTTCGCAGTTTCAAGTTTTCCCGGGCAAGTGGATTATACGGTACATACCTTTGATGCGCTTCCGGGATGATGTCGTCGATCACGACATAGATCATCGCACCGGCCGCGAAGGCAAGTGCATAAGGTAACGCAGGTGAGGCGAGCGTCACTCCGGCTGCACCGAGGACACCGGCGATGGGTTCCACCATCCCCGAGAGTTGGCCGTACCAGAAACTCTTCAACGTGCTAATCCCGGCGGCCTGAAGGGGCAGGGACACCGCCAATCCTTCAGGAAAATTTTGTATCCCGATACCGATCGCAAGATTTCTGTAAGAAGATTCAAAGAGTCGATCGTTAATTTTACACGTATAATTAATTACGAACAAAAAAATATTTTAGACTTTCTTCTAAAATTTTCTGAGGAAAGACCCTTCTAAGGAAAAACCGACTCCTTAAATAGCACCGATCCGCAAATTCCGTTTAAGTTTTTATCTATAAACGATATCTATAAACGATTCTTTTTCTTCAGTTCGAGGTTAATGCGATTGAAGGCGTTCCGATGCATACCGTGACATTTCCGCAGCAGCCGCATCGAAATACCTCGATCGAGCGCAAAAAGTATCCGTTCGCGAATTCCGTAATGTTGTACCGCAACGGTGGTATGCAAAAATAGGGACCGTTCCGCCGGATTGGGAAAAAGCGAAGAAAAGAAAGAGAAGAGAGAGAAGAGCCTAAGCGCGATAAGAACGAAGCCAAAGGAGACGAGGTGGCTCCGCGCGAGAATCATGGCTTGCGCGCGTGTACACACACATACACACACACACACACACACACACATATACCACGTCTCTTCCTCCGGTGTGGCAGTGAGTTCTTGAAACTGGTCGATGGCTTCGACATTCTCCAGATTTTTCCATCTCCGCGATCGGAGCGGAGCGCCCGCGAGGCTTCCTCTAGATCCAGCCGTGTGTACCGCTCGCTCTTTCATGCCTACCGGAGAGCGGCTAAAGCTTACTCGACCAGGATCGCCGCTCATAAATAAGATGTCAATGAACGACAAAGCCTCGAGTTTCGCTTCCAGTTACGCGGACTGTAACGCCCGGCAACGACATAAAATCATTGGCGAAACAGCCGCAGGTAAATTGACATAACACATTACATATCACCGCCATTACGGATTGTTACAATATTGATTGTCCATTCGAGAGATTGTCCGTTTCAAGTTTCAAGTTTCCGTATTTATATTTATACGTACGCGAAGAGAGGATAAGTTAAATACATAAATTTCAAAATGATTGGCTAAATGATACATTACGGTGATATTAATTTGACTGTTAATTTCCACTTCCAAAAATGTGAATCTTAAGAGACGATTTTATACGGCTTTTCAAATTAAGATAGTTGTGCGGAATATATCGAGAATAATTTTGTAGGATAATCGTAAAACTAATCGCGCGATGCGCGATTAGCGATGCGATCGATATATAGGAGAGATAGAACCTTAGCTTCGTTGCAAGTTCGCGAGACCTCTTTCCTCGACCTCCGTTCATCTCCGTCTCTCTTTTCCGCGACCTCGTGGACCGTCGAGCGTGATCTATGGGCCAAGTAATAGCATGGTAGAATCACGTCGAAGAATGAGGGAGAAAGGCGGCGAGTGCGAGCGAGCGAGCGAACGGCCGAGCAAACGAGCGGGACGGAGCGAGGGGAAAGGAGCGGCGGGAGAGAGACGTAACAGGTGAATGAACGACGGGATCGCGTATACAATCTAACACGGCGCGCAAGCCGGCGGAATATCTCACATATTGCACACCGCCGTGCACGGAATTCTCCTCAACTTTGGAATATCATCGTTCTCCGACTGCTCTCGACCCCCGCGTTCTGCCTCCCAATCCCCGCGACGAATCCTTCCATTCACTACTTCGAGGAACGCGGGTTGAACTTTGCGAGTTCGCGAGACGCAGCCTCGCGGACGAGTCGATGGGTTGAATTCCGCGAGTAAAACGAGCTATTTACTTATTGGGTCACGCGCGAAAATACTTCCAGAAGAAAACATGGATTACATCTGTCTGACGATCTCTAAAGCATTTCTTTATCCCCGTTTAATCTTTTAATAACGGTTCATTGAAAGTTAATTAAAATGCACAGATATGTCCCCGCGACTTTCGCGAGATAAAGTTTACTCGCTTCTCCATGGTTAGTATTTCTACGAAGACAATTGCGAAATCAATTATAATCCGGCTGCGAGGTCATTGCAACCATGAATACGTCAGCGCTGTCCGTCTCTTTTGCTCTCTCTCTCTCTCTCTCTCTCTCTCTCTCTCTCTCTCTCTCTCTCTCTCTCTCACACTCTTTCTTTCCATCGGCGGAGCTTCAATGGGATTCTCAGGACCGGCGTAATAGTATTCTATAAAACTAGAATTATGGGGCCTCGCAAGAACCCTACGATCGAAGCTGAATTAAAGATGGGGGAACGACTTGTCGAGAGAGAGACTCGTCCGGTTAGCGAGATGATCCAATTCTAAGGCCCATAAGAAGCGAGAAAACGGTACCGGGCTTCATAGAGGAGACTAACTATTCGAATGAATGAGTTGACCGAATCGGACGGAGTCGCATGCGCGCGAAGCGACCGAAACGAAGAAAAACCCTTCGGTTCTGGTACGTAGAACGAGGTAACGAAGATCTTCCGCGATCTAGCTCCCGTAATTCGATATTCATGAGCACCGCATTTTACGAGGCGAACGCTGCAAAACAAGCCGTTCGAAGGCTTCGGGCTCGTCGCTGTTAGTAATTACATTTCGCGACTGGATGAATAGCATATTGCTTTTACCTTTTCTTCAAATTGAAAGATAAATCATATCATCATATAAATAAATTAACATTAATTGTAATGTTGACAATTTTATCCCGTTCTCAAGTTTAGGATGTTTATTATTAATTATTTGTAACTTTGTCCATGTTTTTAGATTACTATGAATTTTGTCGAACTATGAACCGAATCGGTTTAACCTAATTAAGTACACGTGACAAATTCATTTTTAATTTATTATAAATACTTTCTTTTATAATAATTAAACAAGGTTGATATACAATTAAATTTTAATTTACTTTTTGAATGTTTAAGATTATTGCGGCTCTTGCTTTGATCGCAAACATTCCGATTGAAATCGACTTTCTATTCGCTTGTAAGATTTCGAAGATTTTCGCTTTGGAAAATCTGAATGTTTTTGTAAAAGAAAAGTGACAAAACCTGAAATCATTCCAGTCTGAAAACATTTCCACATAATTTTATAATAAGTGCTCAACTTTTTGTATCAAGATTTTCATTTTAAATTCACTTTAAATTCAATTTATTTAAAAAATTAATGAGTTTTCCGAAAATTTTGCATAAAACATATAAAAACCAAATTATCTTGTCAAAAGCAAAATTTCTAGCTAAGTAAAAGATTATAAAATTGTGCTTATCTCCTCATTTCGTTATAATCATGAAATATTGCCGTTCGCGTCGGTTGCAAAAACGTTTATCACGTGCAAGTGGATCAGTCGGAGGTGGAAAAAGTTGAAGACTGAGTGACTTAGACATAGAGATTCCTCCGCGGTCCTGGCTCCGCGAATCGTCGATCCGCGAATGACCGGGATTTACGGGGAACAATAGATCAGCCGCGAGTTGTCGGCGAGTTCGGCGGAGAAAACGGTCAGCGGCAGAAGCGGCACAGGTGAATGAATGACGTGATCGCGCAGAGATCACCCAGTACGTTGGTGGTTTTCCTTCTCCTGCCCGCGCCCTATCGCGCAGATACGCACAGGGTCCTTCGGTAAGATAGAGAGAGAGAGAGAGAGAGAGAGAGAGAGAGAGAGAGAGAGAGAGAGAGAGAGAGAGAGAGG